CTACATGGTCATCCTTATCCTTAAATGATTACGCGATGATATATTTCTGTTTCTGAAGAATTTGTCTTTCACTAGCTGCAAGGATTTAACAAATAATAACTCTCATTGTGGGCACAAACATTCCAGAGGTCAGGATCAAGATTGCCAGGTTCATGATATGTGTTTCTGCAAAGCAGCAATGTTCGGAAAATTTAACCTGTATATGCGATTTGTCAGAAATTTTCTGTCTAGCAACAACATCTCACTATTGTCCTTCTTTGGCTTTAATCGGGTTAATCTTTTCTAAATGTTTTCAGATACTCGTCCTGTTTGTTTTTCCGTGCATTTTTCTGTAGAATAAAATGTTTCGGGTGTATTTATGTCCGAACATATGTTCAAACCTGAGCGAACGGCTCCACCCCAAATTTAGAGTTGTTTTCCGAACAAACAAATTTTCCACGAACTGCGACACATGTTTCTCACATCGGTCACTATTTTCAAATCTTGCGCTGCAATTTTAGGAACTCCATACTGGATTCGTAATTACGCCAAAAAAATTAGTAGTTATTGGCGTTCCAGCCTTATTTTTAACATGCACAGACTCTCGACAAGTTACTCCTTCCGAAAAAATGTCCTCTTTTTATTGCGCATCAAGTGTTGCTCGATCTCACAATCGATTATGGTTGCCGTCCGAATTTCGTTAAAACTGGTACATAGCTCCTTATCGTACACTATTAACAGAGTTCAAGCCATATTATGCGAAGACACTGGTAGTACTTGATTTTCAAAATGTTCTGAATCAAAGATGCAATCCTTTCTGAAATTCCTGTGTTAATACGCGATAAAATATGCAACGATGCTATCAAAATCTGATATTTATAATCAAATCATTCGGAACTTTCCGAACGGCAACGGTTACAATACATCCGCAATCCTAGCGTACATTTCCTTGCTTCGCCTGATGGAAGAGAGCTGAGAGTCTTACTACGCTGTTTCATACATAAGATATTTTTCCTTTTCTGACGATAGAGACATCTCCATGTTTTAATGTAAACCCGTAAGGAAGTGTGAACTTTCGAAACATTAGGCAGAGCCAGCTCTAAATCAGAGTTCTCTTCTTCGTCTATGGGAACTATTTGTAAACTTTGTAAACGCCATATCTCTAATCTCATCCCATTGAAAACTTCAATGGGAACTAATTTAAAAAATGCTGGCATTTGAAAAGTGTCGTTATCGTAGTTTGTACTTTTTGTACTCTTTCCTGAGAGGAAGTTATTTAGTGATCGTCACTCAGCAGCAAACTTTCTACGTCAACATTTAGTGCTATTGCTCTTCTTATAGTACACATATGTACAATAGTAAGAAAGTTTTTGTCTCCTACACGAATATGGCGAACGAAATATGATCATATGTTAATGCCATTCTTTAAGTAAAGCATATATTTGGCTTCGACGAATAATTGAAAGAATTTTCATGGTTTGGCCGTGTTCTGTTTTGGCTGTTAAGTTACATGAATTACGTTTCAACAGCATTACTCTATCATTGCAACAAGCGAAACGATACAGTCACAGCTTTATTGCAGACACTGAAATATAAAGAATGGTTGGGTCTGTAATGACGACTCAAAATGGCCCGTAATCACCCCCAGAACTTAAAATCGATCATAGGACACTACTCAAATGTCAAAATGCCAGTTCGCCAGCGCCTTACTATTTACCGTGAACCAGTAGGTCAACAGTTTTCGCCAAAGCTGACGAGCAGCTCAGCTTTAGGGCTGGAAGCTCCCGAGAAACACTGAAGGAGTATCATCCGGAGAGGAATCTTTCATTCTTTCTATGCGTAAAGTAGCGCCTGTCGCGTAGTATCGTTAACAGAATACAAATTCTGGAGTTTTCACTGTGTTTGCGATACAGTTTCGAAAGTAGAACAGGGAATGTCAACTGGCAGCCTGAGTAGTTCATGAAGAGTGATAGACCGTTGCGCATGACGCATTGCATATCTCAGATCTTTTGAAGCGTGTGTTTAGTTATTGGCGACG